ATGCCTGTAATCCCAGCACTTTGGGAGGCTGAGGCGGGCAGATCATGAGGTCCGGAGATCAAGACCATCCTGGCCAACGTGGTGAAACCCCATCTCTACTAAAATATAAAAAAATTAGCCGGGCGTGGTGGCGGGCGCCTGTAATCTTAGCTACTGGGGAGGCTGAGGAGGGGAGTCGCTTGAACCCGGGAGGTGGAGGTTGCAGTGAGCCAAGATCACGCCACTGCACTCCAGCCTGGGTGACAGAGCCAGACTCCATCTCAAAAAAAAAAAAAAAACTGACTGGGAAGGCGGTTCTTGTGCAGACTGCACAAAGGAGAGAGGGGATAATTAGGAGGAGATACCCCCTCTCTATGAGCCTTATACTCTTGGGCCAGGACTTAGAAGAGTCTCAGGTGCACCAGAAAATACTACTGCCAAACTGAGGCAGAAACACTAATTATTTAGCCACCCTATGTAAAAATCTTAATGGAATAGATCCTTGTTACCTTGAGAATAAATTCCGGCCTACTTAGTTTTACATGCAACTGTGTCCTGATGCCTTATTGCCAAATATTATTTGATTTGCCCATGTCCTGCCTATAGGGAAAGAATGGTGGTAACTGTTCTCTCCTGCTTCCTGTTCCATCATTCTCATAACCTATTTCACAGAGAAAATGAAAGCCTTCTGATAGGAGCTCCCACAACTTGCCACCTCCAACCTCCAAAAGTACATAGGCAGACACCCACCTTTTCCTCCCTCTCTCCTCTTATGATGGGAGATACGTCTAACCACCCATGTTCTTATTCATACCTGGTTTTTTGTTTATTTGTTTGTTTTTTGGTTTTTTTGTTTTTTGTTTTTTGAGACAGAATCTCACTCTGTTGCCCAGGCTGGAGTACAGTGATGCAATCTCGGCTCACTGTAACCTCTGCTTCCTGGGTTTAAGCAATTATCGTGCCTCAGCCTGGGATTACAGGAATGAGCCACCAGACCGGGCTAATTTTTGTATTTTTGGTACAGATGGGGTTTTGCCATGTTGGGCAGGCTGGTCTTGAACTGCCGACCTCAGGTAATTTTGGCCTCCAAAATCAACGCCTGCCTTGGCCTCCCAAAGTGCTGGGATTACAGGCATGAGCCACCGTGCCTGGCCTCTAAAATATTTTTATTTCTTTCAGAAATATGCTATCTGTCATATGATGCTATACAAGGTTAGGATTTGGTATCTCAATGCTACAAAGAGTCTGTTTTTTCAGCCTTAAGATTTAATGTTAATGCTGGTCAGTTGTGCCTGAATTCCAAAAGGAGGTGAGTGTAATGAGGCATGATGGAACCCCCGCTTCCCATCATGGACTGAACTAGTTTTTCAGGTTTCTTTGGAATTCCCTTGGCGGAGATGAGGGGTCCATTCAGTCGAGTGGGAGGCTTAGAATTTTTCTTTCGGTTTATACACTCTCAACAGTATTCAATCATAACACCTAATAAATTGCAAAGGAAAATGTCTCACAGCATACCAAATTCTTCGGATAAAGGAAGACACCAAATAGCTGGGCACGGTGGCTCATGCCTGTAATCCCAGCACTTTGGGAGGCCGGGGCGGGCAGAACACCTGAGGTCAGGAGTTCGAGCCCAGCCTGGCCAACATGGGGAAACCCTGTCTCTACTAAAAATACAAAAATTAGCTGGGTGTGGTGGCGTGTGCCTGTAATCCCAGCTACTTTGGAGGCTGAGGCGGAAGAATCACTTGAACCTAGGAGGCAGAGGTTGCAGTGAGCCGAGATCGTGCCATTGCACTCCAGGCTGGGAGACAGAACAAGTTTCCATCTTAAAAAAAAAAAAAAAAAAGCAAGACACCAAATAATCTGGACTCTAAAATGATGCTTCCCCACAATGCTCTTAAAGCAGCAATGTTCAGCTCTTGGTAGCAGAACAAACTTGACCATGGGTGTCAGGAGAATCTAGTCCTTAACAGTGTACACAGTGCTTTTTATTGCCTGGACTCCTTTAATCCTCCCGACAGCACTGTGAGCTGGCATTATTACCCCAGTGTCGCAGATGTAGAAAGTGAGTTCTGAGACCAGGTGCAGTGGCTCACGCCTATAATCCCAGCACTGTGGGAGGCCGAGGTGGGAAGATCACTTGAGCCCAGGAGTTTGAGACCAACCTGGGCAACATAGCGAGACCCTGTCTCTAAATTTAAAAAAAGAAAGAAAGAGAGTTCTGCAGAGGTTAGGAAATTTGCAGAAGAAATATTCGTTACACTGGTAGGACAGTGCCAGATTGGAATCCAGATCTTTTTTGACCCGTTGTTTTCTGATTTCCAAATGTTTTTGCTACTTGACCATACTGAGTAATAGAGCCCATTGCACTGTATATAGTTTAGTAACTAAAATAGATGACTAGATCTAATGTCAAGAATTTTTTAAATCATTCCACACTTATTGAGCAACCTCTGAGTGTGGCTAGTGATGGAAATGCTAAAGAAAAATAGATCTTGCCTTTTAAAAGATTAGTTTGTTATAAAGGAGGTACGGTTGTGAGCAGACAAAAATACTCAGAGACCCTTACAAGGCAACCTAAGAATCTCTGATGAATTCCAAGCTGCATGATATTTCACATTTTAATGTCTCTGGATGCATTTAAAATCAGTTGAATGTCATAGTTTTCTTAGCAGCATTTGTTTTCTTTCTTGGTGGCACATAAAATAACAGGGCCTCTCTTACAATCAATAGCATCTTAGAGTCAAGGAACTATGAAATAATTAAATGGCAATTTACTTTATAGCAATGAACAAATATTTGTCAAAGGGCAAATCTTTTTTTGTCTGGAGTTAATAAAGTTAATATCTTTTACCACAAAGCTAGAGGTCAACAGTATCACTATTATTGATTGCCACTACCTGGCTCCGGCTCAACTTCCCCTTGCTCAGGATGAAAACACAGTGGGCAGTCCCTCAGCTCTGGTTTAGGGCATCTGCCACAAATTAGTCTGACAATTAGGTTAACAATTTCAAATGACAATGCAACCAATGGGTAAAAAATGCATAAAGAATCCTCATAAAGGCCAGGCAGTTTGGCTTAATTTAACCACTTTAGGAGGCTGATGGAGGAGGATCAATTGAGATAGAAGTTTGAGCTCCTATGGTACCCATGTTGGTAACTATGTTACCAGGATGGGTAACATAGTGAGATTCCCTTCTCTGCAAAAATATATTAAAAATTCGCTGGCAGTAGTGTTGCACACCTGTAGTCCCAGGTATTCGGGAGGCTGAGGTGGCAGGATCGCTTGAGTCCAGGAGTTCTAGGCTGCAAAGAGCTATGATCGCACCACTGCTCCCCAGCTTGGGCAACAGAACAAGATCCTCTCTCAAAAAAAGAAAAATAGGCTGGGCAAAGTGGCTCATACCTGTAATCCCAGTACTTCGACAGGCCAAGGCAGACGAATTGCTTGAGCCTAGGAGTTTGAGACCAGCCTGGGCAACATGGAGAAACCTTGTCTCTATAAAAAATAGAAAAATTAGGTGTGCACCTGCAGTCCCAGCTACTCTGGAGGCTACAGCTCGCGGCGAGGATCACTTGACCAGGGAGTTCGAAGCTGCAGTGAACCAAGATCGTGCCACTGCACTCCAGCTGGCAACAGAGTGGAGATCCTGTATCAAAAAAGAAAAGAGAGCCGGGTGCAATGGCTCACGCCTGTAATCCCAGCACTGTTGGGGGCCGAGGCAGGCAGATCACGAGGTCAGGAGATTGAGACCTATCCTGGCTAACACAGTGAAACCCCGTTCTACCAAAATACAAAAAATTAGCCGGGTGTGATGGCGGGCGCCTGTAGTCCCAGCTACTCGGGAGGCTGAGGCAGGAGAATGGCGATGAACCCGGGAGGCGGAGCTTGCAGTGAGCAGAGATCATGCCACTGCCACTCTAGCCTGGGCGACAGAGCGAGACTCCCATTCAAAAAAAAAAAAAAAAGAAAGAAAAAAGAGAAAGAATCCTCATGTAGGCAGAATATTAGAACAAATGAGACGACAAGAGAAGGTCAAACGGAAGGACCACACAGTGTTCATGGACACAGTGTTTGAGGGACACTTTCAAAGAATCAGTTTCAAGGAGTGAGTCCAAGGAAGCTGAACATTCAGAGAGTATTTGGAAAGCAGTGCCATATGTAGATGTAGATACAGATCGGAAAAGCCAGAGTGACAGAGTACAAAGCATTATGGATGCTGACAACACACAGACATGAGTTCAAACCTCACCAAGCCACACGTTAGTTGTTGCCTGGGAAAGTTACTTAATTATTTTGAGCATCAATTTCCTCTTTTTATTATTTTTAATTTTTTCATCTACAAATAGACTTTATTTGATGTAATACTGATAAAACATTTTCAAGTTTGACAATATGTATCTGACCATAAATAATCACTTAATTATGAATATAAGTACTAACGGTCACATTAGCAATCTGCAGTTCCAGGAATGTGTACAAGCTTTGTCTGAAAGGACAGTGCCTTCTTTCCCATTTCAGGAAGGCAGCCCTTCCCCATGTGTGGTAAGAAGCAATGTCAATGAGAGTTGGAAAAGTCCATAATCCGTGTCAGAAATTCCACTTTATCCTGAGAGGGCGCTGCTTTTATTGCAGAAAATAATATTTCCCCTCTTCAGTTATCTCTATCAAATAAAGGATTGCATGTCCATTTTTCCCTTGTAGGCTATAAGGTACTCTTCTTGTCTCATCTATTTCTGTCTCCTTAGCTCATACTTATTACACAGTTGGGTTTAAAATATATACTATATATAATCTGCAGAGAGACCTTTGTCTGTCCTTACCTGCCTTCATGTCTACCATTTTCTGCTGGTACGGACGGTCGGCGAGTAGGGGACAGAATTGCTTGACACCATTGATTTAAGATACAGAGAACAGGCTGGCCACAGTGCTCTCACACCTGAATCTCAGCACTTTGGGAGGCCAAGACATGGTGAGATCATCCGAGTTCAGGATGTTTCAAGACCAGCCCAGCCAACATGCGTGACAATCCTCTCTACTAAAATATCAAAACATTACCAGGCCTGTGTGCAGTGCTGTATCCAGCCTAACTTGGGGCAGAGCAGGAGAATCTACCTTCAACCCCAGAGAGTGGAGTCTCCGAGCGCACACGTCCGCACCACTGCACTCCAGCCTGGGAGACAGGGTGGGTGAGACACTGCCTCAAAATAAAAAATAAAAATAAATACAGAGAACAAAGTATCTAGAAGGAACAGACTGGTGTTCTGGAGCATTTCCCAAGAGTGGTTCAGGTGACTTCCGCTTCACACAATTTGGTTTAATACAATGCTGCTCAACAAGAATGAACATGTTTATGTCCCCATCTCCAGAAGCATCACAACCTTTCATGGACAACCCATTATTCCCACACTTTCTCTATATAACTTACAGTTATGGACCATCCTGTGGGATGGTCCATGGCCCCACTGCACCCTTGTGAAAAATGAGAGTCAAAAACATGCCAATAATCATGTTAATGACAATACAGTTGGGTACCACTCGCACTTCACTGAGATAAAAATCCTCATGGAAGGCATCCCCCTCACGTCTCAGGACCCTTCAGAGCACAAGAAAAAGCTTTGCTCTGGTTGTATGCTGCTCTCCATCCTGAGACCTGTTCCTGAGCTACACCATAACAATAAGGGAGTTAACAAAGAAATACATTAGTGGGGAAGTTACAGGGACCCTGCAGAAAAGCCAAACTGTTTGACAGAAGCTTGAAACAAACACTGCTCTGGGAAATCATTTGTATTAGCTGATGACTGGGTTCTGTTTTCTAACATGGACATGCAACATATTCAATACTATGCTTACCACGGTTTGCTTGGTAAACCCTTCTGTCACACAACAAAATACATTCTGTCTCATGAATGATTCCCGAATATTCACCACAAGACCTAGACTCCGAAGCATGGGAAGTGTGCATTGGAACTTTCTTCCACTTGCATGGATTTGGACATGTGCTAAGAACCTGAAACTGCTTCCTTTCTGGAACTCAACTCTGTCAATGTGCTTACTGCTGAGATGATCTGCTATCTTAAACTGAGAACACAAAATAACACTGATCCACGGAAAAAAGGAGAGGTCACCATCTCCCTCATAAGATATTTTGTACATCAGGTCACCCTGTTTGTCACATTTTAGCCATCCTAAGAAAGGACAGAAGCCACATTCCATTCTGCAGTCTTGGCAAATGACTTTCTTCTGTTTCCACCTCTATTTTGCCTTGTTTATTTCATCTCCATTATCCCGTTTTCAGTCACAAATCATGACTTTTTTTCTACAGTAGTCAGAGTTTTGTAGGACAAACTCAGGTCTCTCTGGCCTCTCAGCAAGCTTCAGGGCTTCATGCATGCCTGCAGCAGAGAGTGTCCGGTTGATTTTCTGGTACTGGCACTGGAGCCGGCTGTGATAGGTGATCCTCAGGTCCTGGTTGAAGAAGTCATACATAAAAGGGTTAAAGAGAGAGTTTGCATAGCCCAGCCATGGAAATATCCTCTCCGTTAACAGTGGGATGCAGCTGCAGGCAGTGTCACAGAGGAAGGGTCTGGCTGTCAAGAGGAGGAAAAAGGGGAGCCAGCACACGGTGAAGGCCCGGACGATGATCCCCAGGGTAGTCGCCGCTTTCTGTTCCGGCTTAAAGATGGAGATATTTTCCCTTTCATGCCTGAGGAGTCTCGACGGGTTTACACACCCTTCCACCTCCTTCTGGAACTTCACTGTGCCATTCGGGGTGACTGCTGCTGTCTGGCTTCACTCGAGGGAAGCCGGGGAACCTGTGTTAGGCCGCGCTTTTCCTGAAGGCCTTGTAAATCTGGTAGTACATGAAAAGCATGACGGACATGAAGATTAGGATGCCACTGCGGTGGAGTAAATCGTGTAACCAAAGTCTTGACTGACCAAGCACACCTTATCATCATTTACATTCTGAGCCCAACCAAAGAGTGGGAAGTAAAGTCACAGAGGCGGAGAGAAGGCAGACAGAAAGAATCATCTTCGCCATGCATTTCCCATTCTGCCTCATAGGGTACGTGAGAGGCCTCCTGATCCCAAGGTACCTGTCGATGCTGATCACGTACAGGGTCAAGATCCAGGCCGTGCAGCATATGACATTCATGGAGAAGAAGACGTTACAGAAAAAGTGTCCAAAGATCCACTTGCCCCCGATGAGGTCGGTGACACTGATGAAGGGCATGACCGCCACGACCACCGAAAGGTTGGCCAGCGCCATGGACACGATCAGGTAGTTGGAAGGCTGGCGGAGCTTCTTGACGAAGCGCACGGAGATACCACCAGGCAGTTGCCTGCGATCGTCAGCAGCTAGATGAGCGTCAGGACTGAGGCGATCACAACTTTCTCGGCCCTTTCTTGATTTGCTCCCCGCGGCCGGAGGCATTGTCCGGGGGTGCGTCCCAGGTGGGCGCCAGGCTGGCCGTCACCTCGGGGACCCCGCTCAGCAGATGCGGCGTACCGGAGCCCGCGACCTGGTCGGCGCCACCGTCGGGGCTCAGGTCGGGCAGCCTGCCCCCCACCTCTGGCAGGAGGGAAGAGCGGAGGCGCCCGTAGAGGTCCGGGTGGCTGCCGTTAACATCCATCACCGCGCCGCCGTGCTGCGCTGCCCAAGAAGCCGCCCCCACCCCCACCTCCCCCGGCCCCCACAGGCTCCGGCTTTCGGCCCCGGGGCTTCAATTCGCCGGTTCCCCTCCGCCTGGCCCAGCTTGAGGCCTGCGCGGGCTGCTGGGGAGCGCCAGGCTCGGCCTCCGGGCTCCGCCAGTCCCAGACCCCCGGCCGCTGCGTGAAACACGGGAGCGCTGCCGAGCGGGGACTCCCTGCGGGAGGGGCCTCGGACCCCGACGGACGCCCGGCACGCGCGGGCTCGCTGGCGCTCCGGCGAGACTCGGCAGGCGGCTCCACAGCCCGCAGCAGCCGCGCGGCTCGAAGCAATGGAGGATCAGGCAGCGGCAGAAGTTTCCGTTTCCTCCTTTTTAAATGGCTCCAAAATATTTCTTGTCGGTGGTGTGTGGAGTAGAGATATATATGTAAAATACTTGACAGAAAGCAGGTACTCAACCCAGTAAATAGTGACAAAATTGGTGAGAAGATTTTTTAATAGGCATGAACAAGAAAAGTCATGCTTAGAAAAGTCACCTGGAAACTGTGATTTAGAGAGATGGTGGGAAAGAGTGGCAGCAGGAAAGTGGTTTGGATGCTCTTTCAATGGTCTAGAAGAGGTCATGGGGCGGGGTTAGAGGGACGGCTACCAAGACAGGGAGCCTGGCCGCCGCTGTACCAGCGGGATCGAGCCTTCGGTAGAGGACCGAAGAAGCGTGAGCAACCCGGGACTCGGAGATTGGAGCCCAGGCACCTGAGAGAGGACGCGGCGGTGGACCGGCCTAGGGAGGATGTTCCCCACCACCGCTGCCTAAAGCCACTCCAGGCGAGAATCGCTTTCCAGAGCCCCAGCGGATAGGTTAGACTCAGAATAAGAGGAGGGGTCAGCGGAGGGGTACCGCCTGAGGCCTGCTGCTGGGTTCCCTCCCCAGACACCCGCCGAAAGCCCGAAAGGAGGCGGAGCACAGCCCAGCGGCTCGCCACGCCGGTCCTACCCCTTGCTTCGCTGCCTCGCGTCCTCACCTCACTGCCCTGCCGCCCTGGTGCCCTGCCGCCCTGCTGCCCGCGCTTTGCATCACTGCCCCGCCCTCTCTCCGCCCCCTCGCCTCGCCGCCCCGCCCTCCCTCTCCGCCTCTTCACCTCGCCGTCCCGCCCCCTTGCCTCGCCGCCCTGCTGAATTGTCGCCCCGCCCTCTACCACGCCCTCTGGCCCCTGCCTCTAGCCCCGCCTCTCGCCTCGCCGCCCGGCCGCTCCGCCGCCCTGCCGCCCTGCAGCCGGTGGTCGCTGCCGGTGGTGCTCCATCGCCCCCGCCACCTCACGTCCTCCCGTGCGTCGGGAGCGTCTTGGCTACACCATGTTGGGCATGATCAAGAACTCGCTGTTCGGAAGCGTAGAGACGTGGCCTTGGCAGGTCCTAAGCAAAGGGGACAAGGTAGGCCCTCAGGGCTGCCGAGGACCTGAAGGATTGCTGCGTCCCACCCCCACCCTCTTCGGGACTGTAGCGGGTGCTGAGGGGCAGGTGGGGCAGGAATGTGCTATCGAAGGTTCGTTCTGGTGTCTGTCACGAGTGCGGCTCTCCACCGCCCAGCACTTGGACTGGGAAGAAAAGGAGTGAGAGGTCCCCTGCAGCCGGTAGTGGGAAGAGCGGGGTAGACAGGAGAGATTGATACAAGGAGAGAATCCCAACCTGGGGAATTGGGCACTGCCTGTTGAATGCGTTCTTTCGTTTAAATATTCCAAACATTCCGAACAGTTTGATTTGTTGAGAGACACTCGGTTGCAGAAATGAGTGTGGCAAGAAACTCCCAAGTACTAGAGTACTGAGGACAGTAGCCCCCTTTATCCCCGGTTTCAGTTACCCGTGGTCAGCTGCTGTCCATAACTATTAAATGGAAAATTCCAGAAATACAAAAGTCCTGAGTTTTAAGTTTCCGGCCATTCTGCATAGCAGGATGAAATCTTGATTCCTGGGACCGGAATGCCCCTTTGTTCAAGGTCAGCCTCCTATCTCTAGTACCCGCCCTTAGTCACTTAGTAGCTAGCTTGGTGATCGGATCGACCGTGGCGGTATTCAAGTAACCCTTATTTTACTTAGTAATGGCCCCAAAGTGCAGGCTTAGCAATCCTGGCGTATTGTTATAACTGCTGTATTTTATTATTGTTGTTCATCTCTTACTGTGCCTAATTGATAGATTAAACATTATCATAGGTATGTATGTATAGGAAAAAACATAGTAGATACGGGGTTTAGTTCTGTCCACAGTTTCAGGTATCCACTGGGGGGTTTGGAAGGTATCTGCTGTAGATAAGGGGGACTACTGTGTAAAAGTACAAGACCTGTGCAGAATAGAAATAAATGCGCTAGGCAGGGAGCACAGGGGTGGTCAATTCTGCCGGGGGGGCTATGATGGGGCCTTCAGTGGAGTGTCCTGAGCTGGGCCTTAGGGATGTGTAGGAGTGCACACAACAGAGAAGAGCATGCACAAAGGCCCAGAGCTGTACCACTGCTTTTGGCCAAATAGATCCGCTGGAGTTGGGTACCTAGAATACAGAATGAGTGAGGAGAGCATAATTGCTGTCTTCCCCCAAATTTATATCAGTGCTAACAAGGGCTAACTGGACTGCACCCCTGAAAACAAGGAGAGTGCTGCTAGATTATAATCTCCTGGTAGACAGGTAGTTTGAACATTGCAGCTGTATATAGAGCTCCCAATACGATGCCTCATTTGTGAAAGGACCGTATTGCCTGGGGGCCAAGTTCTGATACCTAGTACAATGATCTTCATATCACGAAAGCCCTCAATTAGACTCTAATCTGAACTCTTTGAGCAACCAAAGACCTTTCACCTGTTCTTATCTCTGTTTCCCCAACTCTATGTAGAATGAACAGTTTAGCTCTGATCAGAGGTCCCACATTTGAATACCTGCAGCAGCCAGGCAGGTAATGGAAATGGATGGCGCTAGCTGTTTTAGGCTATAAGGCATGGTGGGGACTGAGGCAAATCAGAGAGTGAACTCAGGTCCCCATCTATAGAGGGCAGTTCCAGCCACTTGTTGCTATGCAGTGATATGATATGAAACATTGTTGCCAAATTCTTAAGGAAAACCATGTATCCAAATTCTTATGCGAAATCACCCAATTTAAAATTAATTCAACAAAAACTATTTTTTGAGTGCTATGTGCCAGGCACTCTTCTAGGCAACAGGATAAAAGAGTAAAACCAGCAAAAGTCTCTGCCCCCATGGAACTTATGTTTTATTGGCTAATGAACAAATAAAATGTATCATGGATCAGATAGTGATCGGTGCTGTGAAGAAAAGCAAGCAGGGAAGGGGAGTGAGGAATAGGGAGTGTTAGGAGTGAGGCTTTGGTTTTGAGTAGGGCAACTAACATAGTTGTGCATAGGCTGGACACAAAGGCAATAAGGATGCCAGTTATTAATATCAGTCCTGCTCTGAACATCCAGAGAACCCACCCAAGCCAACACAGAGCTGTCTACCCACCTCCCTGGGCAATGAAAAAGGCACCTGGTAAGGTCTGCAGCATCACTGGCCTCCCCATCAGGTAGTTGCCCTACTCAAAACCACAGCCTTTCTCCTAACAGCCCTGATGAAGGTTCCTGTGGTTCTAACACTTTAAGAATCCACTTGTTCTTGCTTTTTGTCATGGAATGGGACTCACTTTGTCTTTTTGGGTTGATGATGATGGCCCACACAGGCGGGGAGTCTGGACTGGTTCGTAGCCTGTGCCCTCAGATTCCTTCCTCACCCGTTCCCTGCTCTGCTATCTCCCTGTGGAGTGGAAGCTGACCCATTTAGCCTGTTTGCCAGGTCAAATGTCAGCTGGCGCCCAGCTACGTTTGCTCAGTGGGAGTCACTACTGGGAGATAAGAGGGGAGAAACCAGAGTATTTCTTCTCCTTCTCCACCCCATCAGAGCCATACTACTAGGACCTTCTCTGTGGCTTCGGCTTCGGCTACACAGGCCACCACGGTTCTAGCTCCTACCCAGTAACCTAGGTATCTGAACTTAGGTAACAGGTAATCCTCCCTCTATGTCTCCTAGGGTGCTTACTAACCTCTAGGTTGCCTGTCTATTCCCTGCTGGCATCTCAGTCCCTCTGTTATCTATGTAACCAATTCCTTGCATTGAGGTGCCTCTGCTCTAAATACTCTGGTAGTTTCTGTTTCCTGTTTGACTCTTATTGATACAACGTCACCTGCCATTAATTTGGGGCCTCTGGGATAAGGAGAACTCCCTAATAAGCATCTTCTCTCAGCGTTTGATGGGAATATGGGGCCATATGCGATATTGGTACGAGGTTAAAGCAAATCATTTAACCCAAATGAACTTCAGTTTCTGCACCTGTAAAATGGGTATAAAAATATCTTTTCCATCTATTTCCAGAGTTACTATAAATATTAATTTCTTTAAAACCATGAAGACATTTTGTAAAGTAGTATACACATTCTACAAATATAGTAATAGCATTGTATCAGTGCTCATCTCAGCTTCATTCTTTCTAGCTGTGTGGTCACAGGCCAACTTAGCCCCTCTGAAGCTAATTGTAGGAGAAAATAATAGTTCATATCTTAGTAGATTATTCTGAAGTCAAATGAGATAACCAATTGTGAAACTGTTCAATACTAGTACTTGGTTGGAGATGGAAATGGTTACCTTCCCCCTAGTTTTACGGTAAAGTGTGGGTAAGTTACTCAATATCTCCCGTGAGCCCTTGAATTCCTCAACTCTAAGATGAGAATAACAATGCCAATGGGAAATTAATTAATTATGCATGGATACTTGTAAATCTTTTTTTTTTTTTTTGAGACGGCGTCTCGCTCTGTCACCCAGGCTGGAGTACAGTGGCTGGATCTCAGCTCACTGCAAGCTCCGCCTCCCAGGTTTACACCATTCTCCTGCCTCAGCCTCCCGAGTGGCTGGGACTACAGGCACCTGCCACCACGCCCAGCTAGTTTTTTGC